GATAACAAGTTTACCATCATTTTTACAAAATCAACTAACAATGTTGTAAAGATGCAGGAAATGTCAAACAAAAACTTTTACGTATCTTATTAGTTTAATAATGAGACTGTTAACATGCCTAAGAATTGAATCTGAGGAAATGTGAAAAATATGCTGAAAAGTGAAAAAACAGCATAACTTCTACAATAATGGCCCGATCATGCTGATTTTCGAACTTGACCTGCGTTTTATGAATATTCATCAGCTCTGTAAATATAAAGCCAAAAAGTAAAACTGCCTTCCACTTATCGTGTTTACAAGGATAGTGCACGGCGACGGCATCGGCATCGGCATCGGCATCGCCATCGGCATCGGCATCAGCGACGACAGACGCAGGTGATGGCAATATGTACAGACACATCTGTGTCTGTACATAAAAAGGTTTTAACCCCCACTTTGTGGTAGATTTTAATGATAATTCCAAGAAAGATACGTGGATATTTCAGCTTTTATTTCCAAATGTTTCAAAACAATAGTCAGACCAATGGCACAGATCGCCTTTCAGTTTCTTCTTGACTTAAAAAATAACTGAAGAAAAGTATGTTCTTATTTGTAACTAAGGTAAAAATTAGTCAGTATATAAGGTAAATAAGAATGCATTACAAAAAAAAAAAAAAATAATAAATGAAGTGATGTCCCAGCTGTAATGGGGATGTTTTCCTAATGAAATCATTATTGTTTTTGTCAAGTAAATAAACATCATTTAAATTCAATCTCCACTCTCTGAGACTAAGTCAACTTCTCTATGCTCTTTGTCCAAGTCTGGGCTAGTTATTAAAACAGACTGCTCCATGTCCGACCTGCTCTTCTTTTTACTTTTCTTGTTCTTTTTGTGTTTTTTCTTATGTTTTCTTTTCCTATCTCTTGACTGAGATCTGGATCTTGACCTACTTTTGGACCTGGATTTCGAATATGTCCGTTTGCTGGAAAAATATTTTTAAAAATTAACAACCTGAATTAACTAAATGAACAGCTGCTGATGTTAAAAACATTGCAAGGATGAAGATGTATTCTTATTAAAAGGAATTTGGCTTTGGTATTAATTGTCAATTACAAAATTTGTTGAAACATCAATAACTGATTAAAGAGAACTTACGACTTAAAAAGAAAATATCACTTTCCAATAAACACCAGTGAAAAAAGACAACTGCTGACTTGATACAAAACCTGGTGCTTAAACTCATATTCAAAATACTTCAAAATTTTATGCCTTTTTCAATTTACATATGCATGACTGAGATCATCTGAAGAAAGGGAATCATTTATGACAGTCAACATCCTGCAAGGACACGACACTTAAAGAGAGAGCCAGATATACATATATTATCAACTTACCTTTTTCTTTTATGCTCTGAAGAATCTGACCTTTGACCCTCAGACGATAATGACCTTGTCCTTGCTCTGGGAAGTAGAGACCTAGAACTTGATCCGTTTTCTATTTCTGTATCTTTTATGTCTGTCTGTACATGGTCAGTTCTTTCTCTATCAGAACTAGAACATGACCTTGACCTTGATTTATGCCTACTATGATGCTTTGATCTTGACCTACTTCTATGACTTTTGGGTGTTTCTCTATGAAGTGAGGGTGATTGTCCACTATTTCTGTCTGATCTATTTTTGTATCTGTTTTTAAAGTCACCTTTATCTCTTGAATCATGATAGTGTTGCTTTGGCGATTGTCTGTCATTTGACCTTGACCTTCTTCTGTCTCTTGACCTTGACCGGTCTTTTGACCTTGATCTGCGCCTTCTTCTTTGATCTCTTCCGTCTCTGTCATCCTCTCTGTAAGATTGCGAATGGCTTTCTCGTCTGTAATAACTATCATCTTCACGATCTCTGTAAGAGGATCTGCGCCTGCCATTACGATAGCCTCGTTCAGAGTAAAACTGTCTGTCGTCCCTTTTCGATGAACCACGCTCGCTTCTTCCTTCATGTCTCTGAGATGATGCAAATTCAAAGTCCCTGTCTGCATCACGAAACTCACCATTGGGATTGCGGAAGACGTGAAGGAAGTTGCAGTTTTTGCCTTTCGGGCAGCGTTTCATGTGAAATAGGCCTATTACAGAAAAAATTTAATCATTAGACTTGCTTTATAAATTGACCGTAAGAAAAGAATAACAATTTCAATCTGGAATATTTCTTATCAATCTTCAACTTAGAAAAGCATGACTTCCACAAAAAATTATTCACTTGAGAAATTTTCTGAAAACGATACCAAGTAACAGTTTCATACAGGATTTTAATGTGGGACAACACCAAAATTGATCACCACATTTTCAGGAATTGACGTTAGGCAAACAATACTAGATACATTTCAAATGTGGGAGATTTAACAAAAAAATCTTCAAAAAGTTTTTTGTGTCTTTGCATCACAACAAGGACTGAAATCAAATTTAATATTTCACAATGAGTCAACTTAAACAATGCTATACTGATTAAAGATGACTTATGGTATATCCAACAATGACAAAACCCAAACTTACCACATATCGCCCCTTTCCACTTGGTGACAACTGTGAACTCACACTGTAGCTGACGACCTCCATACCAGCGGCCATTGAAGGCAGCAAAGCCCCGTATTGCTTCCTCCTCACTAGAAAAAAGGAGACAGAAAATACTTATTCATATATACAAATTTTAAAAAAAATTTGAAAATCGTTTAAATTACACAAAATAAACTTTTCTTTCAAGGCAGTTGCATTAGGAAAAATAACAAAAGAGAATATATATGAAAAAAAAAAAATTCCATTGCCACTCAGGCTGGCCCTGAGGAGGGCTTTATGATTACAGCTCATCAGCAAAGCTGTCAAATGTACAGAATATTGCTTTAGAGCAATCTGTTATCACTGTTACATACCTGGCAAACTGAACGTAGACATTTCCTCTCAGGTGGGGCTCGTGGTTACAGCAGACCTTGAACTGTACCACCCTCCCCACAGCCTTCAGCTCTGGCAACACGTCCTCGTAGAACTCTTTGAAGTGCTGGTAGGTCTCTGACTCCTCGTATTCCAGGCTGATGTCTGAAAAAGAATATAAAATCATTTTTTTTCCTCAACAGATAGTCTTGATGTCTGATGTCCGGAAAAATACAAAACAATATACATACATATTTTGTTCTTTAAAAATGAAACTTATCAAACAAAAAAAAGCCCTCAAATATGTCTTTGGTCCTTTTCATAGTGCAGTACACTTTTTTTATTTCAACCACTTAAGACTGGGTCCAAACATAGAATCAAGTAATGGGGTCGAGGGGCTGGGGTGGCGAGTTTACTTCCTTTCATAGATTTGCTTAAAACTATTTCAACCTCTGAAATTGATCTGGTAAACTGGTTGCGTCAAGCACAGGGGCTCTGTTAACATAACATACAGATTACTCAGTGGTCATCCTTTCAAAATGGTACAAAGTGTACCAAACATTGTGAAAAGGGCTTTGGATACATATATACCAAGCTAGTTGAACAAACGCAGAGATTTTTCTGTCACCATATTGCAATATGGCGAACAGCATACCTGTGTCATACTCGTCCCTCATGCTTTCCTGTAAACCAAAGTGTGTGTACATTCCAGGAAATAACAAGGTCACGCTGGAGTCTGGGAATGGATGTGAACGGGAGCATCTGAAAATAAAAATCCCTTCTGCTCATTAAATTTTAATCCCACTCTCCTCTTGTATCTGTAAGCTTCAATGAATTGTCAGTCCAAAACAAACTTTACTAGTCTGAATATAAGATCAATACATCATATAAAAAATTAATTTTAAAAGACTCATTTCCTTTAGTCAATGGTGTGTATGTGTGTGGGTGTGTGTGCGCACGCAGACGTGTGAGTGCATGACAGTGTGCGTGTGTGTGCGCGTGCATGGGGGAGGGTAATATTACAAAATCACCACACCAACCTTTCTGCAAACCTGCATGCACCAGTCTTCATAAAAAATGGACAGTTCTCCACCTTCCTCTCCTCACTGTACTGCACTGGGGCTAGTGGGTTGTGCCACACATCCTAGAGTGAAAAAGATCAGAGAGTTATAACATATATAAATATTTGTCAAATTGGTAATATAGAAAACATGCAAAATGTGTCTGTAAACATTTTAGTGCCCAATAAAGTATTATCATTACTATTATTATTATTATTAAATAGAGCAATGGGGATAATTGTGTAATTCCTCATAAAGGACCTCAGTGGTTGAGGAAGAGGTTGACAAAAATCAGAGCCAGAGAGAGAGGGAGAAAGAGACAGAAAAATATGCAGATTCAAAAGTGAACCTTATAAAAAACCCAGAAATTACAAGCACTGAAGGTACATACACATATATACAATCCCCCGGTTTCTGGATAAGTTAACAAGACTTAAACATTTAATTAAGCATAACTACCTTGTTTTCATTCTCTGTTGCTTTCTGCAGCAGTTCATCCTATAACACCAATAAAGCAGCACTAGCATGATAACACAATGTAATCTGATCTGAATAAGAGGTTAAGTCTGAAGATACATTTATATAACATCAACAAGTACAAACAAGTAACACGCTTAGTCCATTTTTCCTGGATAATTGGTTACTTTGACTATCATCATATCATGCGATATCATGTAATATAAAATTAAAATGTTTAAACTCTCGACCTTATCCAACTTGTTGCAATATATTATCAAAATGAAGATGAAAAGCAGAATTTCTTTTTTTTTTATTGTAATTTTAATCCTAAATTTTTGAGACAGACAAAAAAAATGACATTAAAAAGGAATCACTTATAAGGCGACTTATTTGCTTTTCAATGCATATTAAATATTATAGGTTATCTGTAATAAGGCTGTCTAAGCCCAGACATCTCAATTTATAATCTGCAAAATGAAATACATTTCAATAAAAGATACAAATTGATCACATTCTTCTATTTCTCTCCAACATGAAAAAATTGACCAAATGTCCTTGCTGGGCAGTAATTTGGTCAAGGAATGCTTTTCAGTTTATTATGCTGGATATGAATACTTATATGAATATGTATATACATGAACATTAATTATCATGAAGAATGACTATGTTTAAAGCATGATCAAAATTATTTTAAAACTTCAACATTTTCAAGAATGCTTTTTTATTCAAAATTCGAAAACTTGCTGATTTAATATTAGAAGAGCATCTCTTAAACTAATGTCCAGGTAGGATATGTTCTAGGGTCATCCTCCAGTCACCTGTCTTTTCTTCTTCTCTTCCTCCTCCTTCCTTCTCTTCTCTTCTGCCTCAGCTTCCCTCTTTTGCTGCTCTTCCCATTCCTCTCGAATTTTTCTCTGTTAAGAAATTGAAAAATAACAATTGATTTACAAAGATAAAAGTGGACCTTTTTTTCAAAAAAAAAATCCTGAAAATGAAAATCCTGAAGGTACACATCTCTATATATATAGACTGTCTTTGAGACATAGATACAAAGCCAAATATCTGGGTTTCCGGATAAACAAGAAGACTGTCATTTGAAAATTAAGGAGCACACTGCTTACACAAAAAGGAACCATTTGCTCTGCCCTGAAAATTTACAAGTCATTCCAATATTATCCGCAAAATATATTGATTCTGCTTTGCTTTAAAAAGAGAATATTTTTTCTTAATGAGTAAGAACCTGTGTAAGCAAATCATGGGGTCTCTAAGTATGAAGCCTTTTTAACAAAATGATAAAATTTAGCACAATCAATCTCACTTCTTCTTCTTCTTTCCTGCGTCTTTCTTTTTCTTCCCACTCCTTCTTGGCCTTCCATGCAGCTTGGGCTTGGCGTTCTCTCTCTAACCACAGCTCGTGCTGTCTTAACCTACAACAAAGGGAATGCTTTCTACACAGCTGAACTATACAGGTTTAGTATATGGAATAATTATAATTAAACATATTTAACAAGTTAAAATATTAAATTCAATGTCTGGGTATTTCACTTCATCTTTCATTATTTGTCATTTTTATTACCTCCTTTATTGATTATACCCTAGAATTAACATGTTTCCTAATATTTTGATTCACTGTACTTACACATGAATTTCAAACACCAAACTCTCTTCCTTGCCTGTAAACTCTCTTCCTTGCCTGTCCCTTAAACCAAGTGAATACAATTTTTTTTCATGCACTCTTTAAATATTTATCACTCATAGAGTCAACATTTTCAGTGATTTTCAGGTGCTGCTCACCTTTCCTTTTCATCTTCTGATGCCTCTTGTCCCTCACTCTCTGATGACACTGCTGTCTTTTCTGAATACAAAAATAATTATAACCTACTTGACAGGAAGATCTGTGTATATTGTAAGCAGAATGTAAAAGGTTTTTGGCAGACTTTCATACAACTACAGTGTACATATACTGTACTTACATATGCCACCCCCCCCCCGCCCC